CCCTTGCCATTCACTGCTTTTTGAGACAAGGTTTTATTATGTAGTTCAGGCTGGACTTGAACTCACTATGTAGCCCTTATTTGCCTCAAATTTGCAGCAATCCTCTGCCTCAGGCTCCCAAGTGCTGGGATTACAGCTATGTGCCATCATGCTCAGCTCTTGTTATTCAGGTCTTTAGCAAATGTATTTCCTCCTTCAGGATCTCATCAGCTTTCCACTGGTGTTTGCCTGGCTCTGGATTTCTGATGACTTCCTCTGGGCTGGAGTTTTCCAAAGATGCAGAGACAACTGAATCTCTACATTTTTTCCAATGGAGCAATGCCTATCAATGGGTTGGTACTATTCTTGAATTTGAGGAGACACTTGGTGGAAGTGGGACTTCCCACATCACATAAATTCAACTTCTAGCTAACTGGACAAGGCTGAACAAATATAATGGCTGCAAAAAGATGCATACACCACTGAATCTATGGTGTGCAAGAAGTTGTAGAGGGCAGGTTCTGGACTCATATCATCCAGCTATGGTGTTACTATCATCTCTTGTAGTTTTCCAGTATCCAGCCTGAAGACAAGCTTGAGTGGTTGGAAGCCCTTCTGTGGCACTTGAAGACCAGCAGAGTGCTGCTGAGTGACCCTGCCTCCACCAGTGAATAGCTCCTGTCACATCTTCTGTGATTCCTATGACCATTCTTCTGTAAAATGGGCCATTCTCTTGTATGTACATGGGCTATTGCCTTTTACTTGTAAATTGAGCCTGGGCTATCTATAGATTCCCAAACCCACATATTTCTACCCCCAAAACACATAAACATTCCCAACTTCAGAGCATATCATGCCCCTCTTCAGGGTCATCCTCCATTTCCTTTGAGTGTGTGTTTTTTAAATTCTGGGTAATAAAACCGTCCTATGCTCCTCAAACAAATAAACAAAGAAACACTTCTGATATCTGATATAACTCCATCCCCAAAAGAATAATACTTGTCCCTGGATCTCCATTCACCCTTCCTTCCTCCTGGTACAGCAGTATCAAACTGCTCTCACAATTGTACCTTTGCTTATGTAGTTCACTCTGCCTAAATCCTCTGTTTCTTCTATTCCTGGAATTTACCCTTATTCTCCAACAAATAGCTCAAATATTGATTTCCTCTAAAATAACTCCCAGATATGCTCCTCCATAAAGAACTCATCTATTTCTATATGTCCTCCTGAGTGCTCTGGAATACCTTTATGTAGCACTAATGAAACTGTATTATGATGATTTATTTACATGGGTCACTAGGCTGGCTCCCAAAATGTAAAGCACTTACCACTGGTGGTATTTACACTGACACACCACTAAATATGGAATTGCATGATGTAAGGGTTATTTCCTTTTAATATTTTACATTAGGGAAGAAGTTTTAATTTTGTGCCAGCATGTCTTCAACATCTCTCTATTGGGTGGTTAATTTTCCTTTTAAAAGAGAGAGCTTGCACTTAGAAAGTTTGTAGACAAAAAATAAACACTTTACATGATATTTTCTAATCATTATGTTCTACATATATTGGTGACAGAGTTTACTTTTAAAAAAAATCCCAGAAATCTGGGAAGCTAAGCAGGAAGATCACAAGGTTGAAAGCAAAATGGGCAACTAAGAGAGATATTGTCTCAAAATTTTTCTTAAAAGGGCTGGAAATGTAGCTCAGTGCAAAGGCTCTAAATTCAATCCCTAGTACCAACACAATAAATAAGTAAAATTAAAGGGAGTTAATTTAAAATAAATACATTTTGGTTAAAGAGGTATATTATTGTTGCAAAATTCTCAACAGATGCATGAAAATTATTTAAGTCTGAAAAAAATGGAGCTAGGTGTTGAGAACGAGAAAGCATCACTTTTGTTCTCAGTTCCTAGGACTCTGCTTAACATGCACTAGCTCAACACTAAACATTTGATAAATTAAAAAGCAACACCCACCTACAACATTTTGAAAACCTAATTCCATTTTAGGAAGCATACAGATTAGTGACCAGCCACTAAACTGACTTCCTGAAAGAGTTAGATTAGCTTGATTCTTCCTAATTGCATTATTTCATATGAATGACTTTTTACATGATTCCCTATTGCCAGAATATAAGAGGTCAAAGTGGACTATGTAGAATGGTGTCCTGTAAATCAAAGTGAAAAGGCAACAGAAAAAAGTATTCATGGCAGGGAGCCCTGCATCGACCTGCGGTGAGTGAGAGAATGGGGACCCTTTCATAGAATAGGAGGCTCCAACAGAGGACATTCTGGGAATGAGCAGACTAGTCGGAACAGGACGCTGCAGTGACTTTAGTCGCATATTCCCCTCTCAAGCGGGAGTGGTGGGGAGCGCTTGGCCTGGTGACGCCGCGGACTAAGATCCAGTAGGCTAGCCCAAATCAGGTCCCTGCACCTGGCGGTACACCCTAGCAGTGAAGCATTCAGTAGGTTGACCTGGAGGGGCAGGCACAGCAGAGGCTGCTCAGGTCTGTGTCTCCCTAGTACACTGCAGTGGGCGGGAACACATAGCCTGCAGATTCAAACAAACTGTAACCGACAAAGAGAAAAAAAAAAAAAACAAAAAACTGGGCCTCCTACAGACGCTTGTATGGAAGGAACAAAAAGTATGGGAAAAGGGAGCAACAAGAAAGGGTCCTTAGTCCCCAATCCTGAGAACACTGATGCAGGAAAGGTAAATGCAAAAGAGAATAAAGACAGAAAACATGCAATATCCGACATGGCACCTATAGACATAAAGCAGTATCTCCGGAGCCTAATAGACGAGTTCAAAAATGAAGTATTTAATGAAATAAAGCAAGAAATAAGTAGAATAGTTAGAGAAATGCTAAGCACCGCCCAAGAAAAGACAGATGGTGGAATGGAAGAACAGAAAAAAAGGGGAGAATTGTTTGATGGAGAAAATAGAGAAAACATAGAATACATGAAGCAGGTTCAAAGAGATTACCAGGAAACTAAAAACTCTATTGAAAGCTGGCATAACAGCTTGAAAGAAACTAAGGATAGATTATCAGAACTGGAGGACAGATTTGTAAGGTGGGAGCATGAAATGAAAAACTTCTTAAAAATAACAAGAAAACAAACAGCAATAATACAAAGACTAGAAGATGATGAGAGGATCTATAACTTAAGAATTAAGAACATAAAAGAAGAGGTAGGGACTCAAACAAATGAACTACAAAAGCTATTCGAAGAAATAATCCTGGAGAATTTCCCTAATTTAGCAAAAGGTAAAGATACTCAGATGTATGAGGCATACAGGACCCCAGCCACCTACAACCCAAACAGAGCTACACCCAGGCATATAATAATCAAAATTCCAGAAATCCAATACAAGAACAGAATATTAAAAGCTATCAGAGACAAGAAACAGATCACTTACAAGGGAACACCCATCAGAATGACAGCAGACTTCTCAGCACAAACCATCAAATCACAAAGAGCGTGGGGGGAAATAATTCAAGCTTTGAAAGATAATAACCTCCAGCCAAGATTGATATATCCTGCACAACTGTCCCTAGAAATTGATGGAAAAACAAGGTGCTTCCAGGATAAAGAGGAACTAGGGGAATTTACAACCACCAATTCAACTCTACAGAGATTACTGCCGGATATTCTAAAAATGAAAAATACCAAGATTCCAGAAACAGTGGCAGAGAGGCCACAATGAATGGAGCAGAAAGCGAAATGAAGAGGACAAACTGACAACTAATGACAGAAAAAGAGCTCAACAGAAATGAGGCAGAGAAAGTTGGATGGTAGGAACAGCCATTTTGGAGAAAGCAAGACATCATAATAGGTAGTGCTGATTTAATATCCTCTTGTTTTGAAGTCCCATCAAGCTTTTGTTCTTCTGTCTCCATCGGTTTTAATGTGTTGTATCTTATTGGATTTTATTATATGTGATAATATAAACAAAAACTTTTATAGACAAGGAGATTATACAGAAACTATTGTTCATTTTCTGTTAGTTGATTCAAAATACCCTGTAATCCTGTCATTCTCTTGAACGGTTTTACATTGTCTTGATATGTTTGATGCTACAGTATATGAAGTTATACCCAAAGATTTTAAGGGAAGAGACACTATGGTAACTACTGTCGAGATTATCTTGTGGTGAAACACTATTTTGCTTAAATGGCTATGTTTTGACCTGCACTGTTTTGTCGTTATGCCCTCTTTTTTATCTCAATCTCCTTTTTTATTATCTACTTTTTCATTTTTATCCTTTTAATTAAGGGAAAAATAAATAAAAATAGCAGGATATATTATAGTAACCCACTCTGATTTCCTATTAACTTGATTTGAAACTCTGTATTGCTCTCACCATCTTGTTTTGACTGATTTTCCTCTATTCTGTTATGCTTGATAGTACCAAGTTTGAAAGTATAGGCAACAACTATGAAGACAATAAGATTCATTTTGACGCCCATTCTGGTTGACTATTATCTTCTTTTGAAGTCCTCTAATGTCTCCAATGATTTGGTTTTATTGGTCTTATTCTTTACTGTTTTGTTCAATTTTATTATAACTGATGATTTAGGCAATTCTTCTTAAGATAGCAAGAGGCAGTATGGTAACCATTGCTGATCACCTTGTATTTTGTTTTTACATTATGTATTATGTCCATCCTTTTGATTTGACTGACTCTGTCCTGGTATGTCACATTTGGTTTTACTTTCTTCAAAAAGAACTGTGGGAGTAATAAAACCCAAAGTGTGTAATTGTCATTGTACAAAAGAAAGGAAAAGAAAGTTCTCTAAAAGATATAATTGCATATATATTTAAGTGTGTAAGATAGATAACCATATTACTGAGTTTTCTTGGATCATTGAACAAAACTGTTTGTAATCTGTTTGAAAGACCCCTCTATATGCTTTAATTTTGTAACTTCAACAACTATTTCTAAGATGACAATATGTAATTAACTAGTGATTTCCTACTGTTTATTTTTGCTGAAAGTCTGTATAACTTGTACCCTTTTTCTTTTTTTTTTTTTCTTTTTTTTTTTTTTTTCCTTAAATAAAATTAAAGAAAAAAATATTCACAATACCTTCCTGAGCAATCTGATCCACAGCACTCCGTAACCCTTTAAGGATGGGCCAGGGCAGCTCTCTCCAGAGGACAGCTAGCACCACCTGTTGGGGAGGGAGTGCCTTCACAGAGTGAGATGGTATTCGCCCTGCTTATGAGCCTGATACTTCGTAATTTAAAGTGCTTTTTATCACACACCTTTCAAGACACTCTTTTTTTAACCATGACTGTGTCTTCCAATCAAGACACTTATACATACCAAGAGCACAATTTAACTTTCAGTCAGTTCTAGTTCTCCACTATGATGCTCAAAACCAAAACTAGCTAAGTAACTTATTAAAATACACTAGTTCTTCATGATGTGACTCTTGGATAATTACTCCATTTTGATCCATTTAAGAAATGAAACAAGAGCCAGGTGTGGTGGTACATGCCTGCAATCACAGCATTCTGGGAAGCTGAGTCAGGAGGATTCTAAATTTGAGCTCAGCCTGGACGACTTAGTGAAACCCTATGTCAAAAAATGAGTTGGGGAAGAGCTCAGTGCAAAGTCTCTGGTTCAATTCCCAGTTTAAAAAAAAATGAAATAAAAGACAAAAAACTACTTATATTATACAACCTCATACATTATCAGATTGTTTTAGAATAGCGAGTATGTGTTGCTTGTTATTATCAACCAGGCTTGGCATCTCTTGTTATCCATGGTAATTAGAAACAGAGATAGCTTTGGCGTTTGATCTTTATTAACAATTTAGAAACAATAATTTTTTACTCTCAAACTCCTCTGATGAAATTGCGAAGGTTTGTTTCTCCCATACCATTTATAATAGATGCTCTTGAGTGACAAAAAGTATGAATCTAGGGTGTGGTCAATAGAGAATAAAAGAGAAGTGCTTAGATTCTAAATGATACTGTTTGCTATCAGCAATTTTCTTGGAGACGGGTGTCAGGAGTAAATACACAAGCATCAGGAATAAATTCACATGTGCCTCTATTTTAAACATAACATTGACAATTTTAAAGAGATATCCATTAAGAAAAGCTTTAACAAATAGAAAACATTCTGGATTTTTTTTTATAGTACTCTATGGAACTTTGATTTCAATAAAAAATTACTTACTTTTGAAAAATGAGGTAAAGTAATGATAGTTTTTAAATATTGTCCTGAAATACTGTAAAATTGAAGTATATCTGTCTTCGTGAGGGAAATTAAGAAGCAATAATTTTTAATGTGTTAAATGGAAATGAAGTGATAATTACCACAAAAAACAGTACATTAAACTCTACTGTAAAAGAGGAGTTTCAGTTATTAAACAATTGTCAGATTTGCCAGAGGTATATTATTTGGGAATTTTTTTATAATATAGAAAGAACAATATCTCTCCAATTCTATAGAGGACCATTTGGTGCTTTAAAGAAATGACTCAACAAAATAATACTTTTGCTAAATTGTACCCCGGGGCTGTGAATTTGTCCCAGCAGCATAAGTGCCTGCCTGGCAAGCACAAGATCATGAGTTCAATCCCTGTCCCCAGTATCAAAAAACAAAAACACACAATAAATTGTACCTAGGTTCTAAAATGTAAACATTTTCAGTGTGAACTTGAATGTTTTTGAGCCCAAGGACAGGCAGGATTTTTGATCTTCATCTAAACTTTTGCCCTAGTTCTACAAGAGGACTATAAAAACATCAAAAGGAAGATAAAGCACTTCTCAACTAGTTAAGACACTGTCCAAACCTAGTGTCAAATTGTTTAGTTGTACATATTTAAATATATTCCTGCCTCAAGCCTTCCAACCAGAAAGCTTACATTTCTTATCTACTTCAAATTGTATCTAGAAATAGGAAGGACAGATATTTTTATGAAATATAAATAACAGTGGTTCCACAAGTACTTTAAATCAATTCCAGCTACATTTCAAGTGCTGAGTGAACTTCCTTTCACATTTGAGGACTCTTTCCTCAGGTATTTCCATCAATCAGAACAGAAAACAAAACAGGCCAGAAAACAAAACAAAACAACAACAAATTGCTCCTCATGTGCGTTCTCTTTTCATGTTTTCTTACTTTTTTTCTTACATGCTTTTTTGCTGTTCGAACTGTAAAGAGCTCTGGATTTTTTCTAATTATAAAAAGCATTTCAAAAAAATAATCTGAGCCAGGCATGGTGGTGCACACTTGTTCATCTCAGTTACTCAGGAGACAGACGTAGGAGGATGGGAGACTGAACCAAGCCTGCCTCAGAGTAAAATATAAAAAGGACGAAGATGTAACACAGTGCAAGACCTTGGATTTAATCTCAGTACAAAATGAAAAAAAAAAAAAACCCTGAAAGTACCAAACGGTAAGAAGAAAAATTCAGCGCTAGACATGGAAGCACATACCTGTAATAGCAGCACTCTGGGAGGATGAGGCAGGATTGCAAGTTTGAGCCCAACCTGGGCAACACAACATCTTTCTGAGACCCAGCCTCAAAGGGCTTGAGACATAGTTCAATGTAAAGGCTGTGGGTTCAATCCCCAGTACCTTAAAAAAATAAATAAATAAAGTAAAAATCAGTGTATAGTGCTTCTAATCTATTTAACAATCCATAGTCTAATTCTGACTATCCACAAGGTTAAGTTCTGTTCCTTTGCAAAATCAGTATAATGGGTTACTGGAGACCTCAAAAAAAAAAAGTCAAAACTCCTGGCCTTGAACAAAAGGTCTTTGCAGGTGTATTTATGGATTTCAGGATGATATTACTTTTGGATTAACCAGAAGGTATCAAATCCAAAGACAAGTGTGCTTATGAGACACAGAGGAGAAACAGAAAGAAGAAAATATGAAGATAAAGGTGGAATGAGTTATGTAGCCACAGCCAAGGAATGCTTAGGGCCATGGGGGGGGGGGCGGACTTCTCTTTTGGAGCGTCCGGGGTGAATATGGCCTTGTGGACACCTTTGGTTTCTGACATCTGGCCTCCAGAACTCTAAGCGAATAAATTTCTGTTCTGAGCCATGAAACGTTTGGCAATGTGCTATAACACTCCTATAAACTAACACACAGTATTCTAAACAGTATTGATAAACCTAGCCTGTTCTCCAGCCTCTTTTCCTGATTTATACCTCTGTTGGCCTCCTTTTGATTTTGCTTTTATTCATTCTTCAACTATTTCTTCAAGACTCCAAGGGACCGCCCAGCTCTGTTTATCAGACAGTAACTTTCTCCCCTCAGATGCACACACTAGTATTTCTTTTTGTAGCCCCTAGAGTGTGTATCTTTGTTGGTGTGATTCTACAAGAGGGAGGTCTCGGATTTGACTCTAGAATCATGAGAAAAATAAATGTTTAAACACCTTCTGTCCCTCTAGCAAACTGTAAGCTCCCTGAGGAGACCCGAGTGGTTGTATTTGAAGCCTACCTCTGAGCCTGCAGTGCCACAGTCTGCTGTGCCCCGTGAAAGAATGGCCACTTTTGCAAAAGCACCATAGACCTTGGAAACCTCGACCAGCCCCAGAAAGGTCTGTGGGCAAGGTCGGGGCGCCATGTCAAACCCAAATCAAACCACTTGAGAGAGTACTTAGTAACTGTGAGTCTGGCTATTATCCCCACCTTGGGTAAAAGGTCTGCCTACCACAGGAGCGAGCAAAAAGACTAGAGGAAAACCAGAGGGGGGAGAGCTACAGTACATATTTCCTAGGAATGGGAATTGGGACATTTAAGCTTATTTAACTGCCAGGGCATTTTAATCGCTTTCTTGCCCTTCGTGCATCCATCTGTCCATTCTTTGACTGTCCTCCCCTCCACTGCGTGAGCTCCGAAGGACGGCACCTGTTTGCTCGTCGCCGTACCCCACACCTTCAACAGGACCTGCGGCGCAGCAGGCGCTCGGTGAGCGTCTGGGTATCACCCCAAGCGAACCCTGGATGACAGTCAAAACGCCGCGAGAGGGGGCGACCCCAACAGGTCCCACAGCCGGAGACCTGGGGGGCGAAGGCCCAAAGACCGCCAGGGCCCGGCTGCGCCCCGGCCGGCCCGGCCCGGATCGCCCCCACCGCCCCCGCCGCCCCCGCCGCCCGCGGCCCGGCTCGCGCCCGCCGCGCCCCCTCCGCGCCGCCTCTGCGGCTGCGCGCTGGCGGCCGAGCCGAGGGGCGGGGGTCGCGCGGAGGGGCCGGCCGAGTTGCTGTGGTGGCGGCGAGAGACCGAGCCAGACCCGGGGTACGTAGGGAGCGGCCATGTCTCGCTACACGAGGCCCCCCAACACCTCTCTGTTCGTCAGGAACGTCGCGGATGCCACCAGGTGAGCGGCGGCCACCGCAGGTCGGGGGCGCCGGGGCGGGCGGGGTAACGGCCGGACCGGGGTGCGCGGGCCTGGAGCCGAGACCTGCGAGCCTGCGGGCACCGGAGGCCCCTGCGCGGAGCCGCGACCCTCGCCCCAGCCCACCGGCTCGGCCCCTTTGTCGCCACGCGTCCGGCCTCCCTGCCGAGACCGAGAATTGGGAGGGATGAGCACGTCTCGGAAAAGAATGCGTATCTTGGGCCTTGCCATTTCATTTTCCCCAGCCCTCGTCTACTTACGGAGAGTACCCATGTTAAATTGCATTCTTTGCACGATTTTATACTACATGCAAAAGCTAACTTGGGCTAGTGAGATGTATACATTTTTCTTTGAAGTTCTGAACCGAATCTGCTAAGCCTTAGCTGATAGCAGCCCTGGAGACATTGGGACTCTTGGTTGCCACATCTTAATTTCAAACCATATCAGGAATAAGAGTATTAACACCTTTTGTAATGGGTTGGGTGAATTTAACCGCTTAATTCTGGTGCTCTCAGTCCCTATCTGTTGAACTCCCTCCTCTTTGAGAATTTTGTCTGCATAATGTCTAAATATGCATGTTAAGGAATGGCTCTTTCATATAGCACTTTTTCCTTTAATGGGGGAGCTAAAGGGAATTGGGGGTGGGGAGGGCATTAATAGACACATTAATTTCACAGGGTTTATTCAATTGCCTCTACCTTTGTAGTTATGGAATATTACATTATTATACACAAGTGATATGAAGCTTATTAGAGTTTTTAATGACTTACTCTGTGCTAGACAGGCAGGAATGCACACAGCTCTTGACTTTGTAGTAATATGGAATAATCATAAGTGACTTTTGAGGAGTAAATATTAACGTATTTTTATTTGATCCCTACCAAATATATGTCACAACAATAGACTGTGAGTTAGTACAGTGTGTCTTAGTGAATATCTAAATTTCTTTTGTACATTTCTTTTCTAAACGTATATATCAGAACATTACTGTATATGGGAAAGCAAAATTCTGTGATTTTCTCAGGATTTTTAAACAGACCACCTGAAAACTAAATAATGAGTATTATCTTTCTTTGGTATGTTTGCAAAACAACAACGAAAACCTAGTGGTTTCCAATTCTAATGGCCACAAAAGCCAGCCAGAGTAACAGAAATGAGTGTAGCTGCCAGATCATAAGGTACAATAAGATGGTGTGGGCTGTACCAAGTCAGTGAGGACCTGTGCCATCGAAAGGGAACAGAGTCTGGAGTTTAGAGTCAGATGATGACTGGTCCCATAGACAGTCGAATCCTTGTTGCTGCATCTCTTTATAGAAATCTGTACTTTGTGTGTAATGTCAATTCCAAAATATTAATATTTATTAAGTTGAATAGTAAACTAATATTTGTAGATTTAAAAATTACAATACATTGATGTTTTCATACTTCCACACATTTTTAAAAATGTAAACATTAGACTTGCTAAATACAGCATATCTAAACTGGAGATATAGTTCAGTGTTAGAGCATTTGCCTAGCATGCACGAGTCTCCAGCACTGCAAAGAAAATTTAAAAAATTTACATCAAATAAGATGTAATCTGCATTGATGACTAGATTTTGATGTAGGTTATCGGTCATTGAGTACTGAGACTAATAATTGAGATTTACTGATACCCTCTTCCATTCTTTGATCACTTTTTAGTGCTGTCATTAAGAAGGCAACAAAATTTAGAAGATTATGTTGAATTGTTAACATTTATTAAATATTCACTATGCTAGACTAAGAACTTTACATGTATCGTTAAATTTCCACATGAATTCTGTGTGTTCTCTATTAACTCCACTTATAAACAAGAAACAAGATCAGTGAGGTTAAGTATCTTGCCTAAAAGTACACAGCTAGTGAATGGTGTTATGTAGAATTGTGACATGTAACCTATGTTAACCCTTTTGTACAAGGTGGCATACAGTGTAAATTAACTATCAGTATGACACCTCAACACATTTTATGTTAACTTTAACATTTAGTATAGCTTTAAAGAAAAAAAATTGGGATAAAATGTCCAACCCAAAAGAGTGTAAAATTACATATGCAGTATGATTTCAGTTATATAAAAAATGAAGAAAAAATGAGACTGGAAAAAAAGTGAATGCTAGGATTTGACTGATCTTCTTTTATCCCAAAGTGTTTTTCAAATTTTAGTTAATAAGAGTATTAAATAAAACAGGACTGGAAGTTTAGCTCATTGATGGAATGCTTGCCTAGCAGGCACAGGATCCTTTAATCACCAGAACTTAAAGTTAACATGACATTATATATCAAAATGGAAATTGCTATATTACTTTTGTTTCATTAATTAGTTTTAAAACAAGACCAAATTTTGGTAAAATTTTTCTTGTAAGCCAGGTATGTGGCATATGCCAGAATTCCAGCACTTGGGAGGCTTAAGCAGGAGAATTACAAATTCAAGTTCAAAGCTAGCCTGGACTACAGAGCAGAACAACAAAAATTAATCACTTTGTCCTGGTGTCCATTTTAATGTATACCGGAAAGCAAAAGCCATTGTGGATTAGTGTAAAGTCTACTAAGTTAGGATGAAATTGGGAGCAAGAACTGAAGAAATTTTTTAAAAGTTTAAATTTTGTGTTATGTTTCTTTTCATGAGTGAAACAAAATGTAGATTGGGGAAGTATTAATTTTAATATCTTTGTTCCTTGTGTAGAGGAGTAATTTTTACATGGCAACTATAATGTGCTAATTAGTGGACCAAAGTAACGTAGCATTCCCATTTTGATATGTAGCATCATATTTGGTTGGGGAGCAACTGTCTTATAGCTCTTGGACTACTTAGCAGCATTCTTTGGTTACAGTATATATGAGGTTATATACTTTGGTGACAGATATAGAAAAAGCATTAAACAAAATTTATCAGTATCTATGATTAAAAAGTTCCAGAAAGCCAGAAAAAAAGGAATTTCTTCAGCCTGATAAAGGGCATCTATAAAAACCTATAGCTGCTGGGTATGGTGGTGCATATGGGTAATGCTTGCACTAGAAGGATGCGATCAGAACATCTTGAGTTTCAGGCCAGCCTGGACTACATAGCAAATTCAGGTCCAGCCAGCAATGGTGAAAGTTTGAATGCTTTCCCCCTGAGGTCAGGCAACAAAACAAGAATGCCTATTCTCACAACATCCGGTCAACCTGTCTTATTACAGATCCTAACCAGTGCAACAGGTCAAGAAAAATAAAAAACATACAATTTGGAAAGGTAGAAGTAAAAGTGTTCTGCATTTTTAGTTGACTTTTACATAGAAAACACAGAATTAATAACAAAAACTACAGGAACTCCTAGATCCTTAAGTAAATAAATGGCCTATTGGGTTGGGCACAGTGGCATATGCCAGTGATCCCATTACAAGGGAGGCTGATGCAGGAGTGCCATGAATTTGAGGCTAGCTTGGGCTAGTTAGTTCAAGGCCAGCCTGAACTACCTAGCAAGATCCTGTAAATAAATAAGTGGCATATGCCAGTAATCCCAGCACTTGGGAGGCTTACGCAGGAGAATTACAAATTTAAGTTCCAATGTTAACCCTTTTGTAAGTAAATGGCCTTTTGTGTTATACCTCACTTGCTATTAAGTAAACTAAAAGTGAAACAAAACTGGATCTTACCTGTAGTTCTAGTTGTTTGGAAGACTGAAGCAGGAGCATTGCTGGAACCCAGGAGTTCAAGGATAGCCTCGACAGCATGATGAGAGCTCCTCTCAAACAAAACAAAACAAGCACACACACAGAAACACCAAAACTTACAATAATGAGATACCCATACACCCCATATCCTTCAGAGTGCAGGAGATGAAAGATACTAATGTAGAACTGGAGTTCTATGAATTCTAATAGCATGCTTTGGGGGGGGGTGTGTGTAAGTTGTTTGCACTCTTCGGAATAGTGAAAGTGAAGATAGGCACATTCTCCAGCCCACCAGTTGCTTTACTAATGACACAGGCTAGAAAACTAGCAGAACTCCCAGGAGCACAAACATAATGTGCACTGCAGTGCATTTGGCAATTTAAAAAATTTTTGAAGGGGTTGGAGTGATGCTGAATGCTACCATGTATGACATTCAGTCTGGCAGTGAAAAAAAAGGCCATAATGAATCTTGTTTGTAGATACATATTGTATGTGTTTTATTATTCTCCATAATTTATACAGTTCTAAATGTGATCTATGAATGTTGAAACAGATCATACCTAAAATGCAGAAATAGATGAAAACAAAACAGCCAAGAAGTAAGAAATGTGAAGAAAATGAGTGAGAGACAGCTCTTTTGGACTTCTCTTTCAGACTATCATCCTTGCTTTCCAGGACCCTAAACCTCTGTGACACACGTTCCACACTTTGTCCTTATATCGCCCAGGGTCCCTTTCCTGGTAGCTACCAACATTCGATGGGATGGGTTACCTTAGAAGACCATTTCAGTTCTAGCTTGGCTGCCTGACTTTGCAAATGGTTGTACCACTCTAGGTAACTTAATTTCTCACCCTAAATTTCCGTGACTCTTTTTTTTCCTCTTTGACTGATAAAAGTAGCCATAATATATTCTTCACACATTAGTAGGCAGATATATATAGAGAGAGTGCGGGTGAGAGCATGAGCTTTACTCTGTACCCATCAGCTGTGCGAAGTACAGAGATAGGCTGATAAGATAATCCGCTTTAGCAGTGATCTCAATCTTCAGTCTCAGAATTACCTAATGAAATTTTTTCTTTCTGGTAATGATGAACCCAGAGCCTTTGTGTACTAGGAAAATGTTCTTCCACTGAAATCCTTTATTTAAAATTTTAAAATTTTGAAACAGGGCCCTGGTAAATTGTCCCTGTTGTCCTCAAACTTGCCATTCTCCCATCTCAGCCTCCTGAGGAGCTGGGTTGAAGTGTGTGCCACCACTAACTAGGTCTAGAGTTTACGCCTCGGGCTGCGATGCCTGTTTCTGTAGCCTTCCCTTCACAGATGATTCCAGTATTCATGAGTAGTTGAGAATCTTTATCCTACAATCTATATATTATGGAAACAGAAATTGTGTTTTTATTCCTCACCATGTTCCTAGGACTTTGCACACAGTAGGTGCCCTGTAATACTTGTTGAATAAATAAGTGAAATATAAAAAACAAAGTAAAACCACATTACCCCTGCTCTTTAAAGCTAATAGTCTACCAAGGAAGGCAAAGAAACATTATTGTATTAAGGATGTCTTAATATGGCCTGATCTTCCTAACATAGTTTGAATGCTTAGTCAATATTAGTTGAATCATAATGTAGTGAAACCTAAATTCTCATCTCTATTCTTAATCACTTACCTTCTTGAGAGAAAGTAAAATTAATATGATTTGTATAGTCTCAATTTCCAGTTGCTCACAGAACTCTTAAGAATGCTGCACCATCACTCCAAAGTCCACATTCTTCCTGTATCTGAAAGCTGCCATTTTTGTCCCTCATCTCCCTCTTTATTGTGTACCTCTCTTTCCTGGTTGTCCAGGTGTCTGATTTTTGTCACTGATAATTTTCTTCTGTTTGCCTAAGCAGAAACTTTGCAGTTCTTTGGTTCTTTATTCTATACATGTTTTGAATTACATGATCTTTTAGATCCATGTATTGTGCTCAAAACTTGATGCAAAATCCCTATGATTTTTTTTTTTGAGATGGTGTCTTTCTATGTAATCAGGTTAGTCTGAAGCCATTATCCTCCTGCCTCAGTCTCCCATATGCTGGAATTATCTTCATGCATGTGAGAGACAACTTCAGTGTCCTCCCTTGAATGCAGAACAATTGCTGTAACTTTGATTATATGGAGACTTATTTCCTTATACTGATAATGTAGAGACCTGGCTATGGTATTTCCTTCTCTCTTCTGTTGGCTCTAAGCATTGCAGATAAGGCTAGCAGAGGTACTGATATGTAATCCCTAAAGCCATCAGACAGTCTCCTGTTTCCTTGCATAGTGCTCTCTGTAAAAGATATGAGCACCGCAGATATTAGAGCCATTAGCTCCAGGAATGTCAACTGGGTATGAGCCTCAAGGTAAAGAGGCTATGTATGACTCCCCAAGGCACAAAAATGTACATATCAGAAGCAACAGCCTCCTAAAACAATTCAGTTGCTACTTTAATTGAATTATGCAAATTGCATATTCTTATCTCTGCATTTTACAGAGGTGCTTTTCTCCCTACCTGGCTAGCCAGGTAGTTACTCAGGGAATTCCCGTAATCACCCCCCTGCCCATCCTCACTGTCACTCATCCCTGAGTCACCCCCTTTGTTCACAAGAATTCTGGGAGAGGCCTAGGATCAGGGCCTTTGTCCACACATTCTCATGGGGATTGGATTTAGGACCCCTTGGGTACCCTTAATTTGGGAATATATCTTGGTGTCTTCACTGTCACTTCTCCTTGGGTTGCATTGGAGGTGGTAGATTGGAATTAATTTGCTGGGATTCCAGTAACTGCTCAATGGGATTGTTTTTGGATTTCGAGGAAAACTAGAAAAATTATTACAATACTTGGATGACTGTATACAATATTTGGGCTTACAAAATGCATACAACATGGCCAGCTTTGTGTAATATGGTATATGAGCCAATATGGTATATGGTTAAGAGCACAGATTAGTGTCAGATTGTAGTTTTTTCCCAGCTGTATCATTGCTGCCTCAGCGACTTTAGAAGATTAATGTGTCCTGACCTTGTTAACAAGGTTATTAACAGCCATAGGGTTGTTGTGAGAATCAAGTGGTGTAGATTAAGCTGATCTTAAATTCACATGTAACCCAGGCTGGCTTTGAACTTGTAGTGATTATCCTACCTGAGCCTCCCAAATGCTGGGATTACAAGTGTGCAACACTACATCTGGTGAGAACTTGAGATAGTAAGATGACCAGTAGCTATTACATCAACACATGGTAACTGTCAGATTTTTGCTGCTAAGCATGTTTGTGTCTTTAGTAAAACTGTAACTCCAAGAAGACAAGTATACTACGTATTTCTTTGGTATCCCCTCCACAATACCAGTATAAGGCACTATAAGAAGCTCAAAATACCTGTCAATTCTAAGAATACAGTACTTTGCTTTATGTTTAACAGTAAAACTCTATTTTTCTTAGAAGCCTGAGGGATAATTTTAGGACTTCTTTAGAAGCTCATTGTTGCTATTTGAAAGTAATACTAACAGAAACGTGAAGTGACAGGGAAGCAAGTGACTGTGTTTTTAGTAAAACTATTAGGTTTCATAATTGGAATAACTTTCAAAGGTAGATGTGCTAGATCGATGCTTCTCAAAACTGACTAAGCATGGTAGTCATCTGGAGTGCTTGTAAAAATACAGGCATACAGTCCCTAATCCAGACTTCCTGAATCAGAGTGAGAAGACTAAGAATCTGTTTTTTCCCTTCCTTTTTTATTTCCATTTAAAAACCTTGGGTGATTCTTATAAGAAAGATTCAGATAATGCTGGTCTGGATGATGTACTTTCTTTTGAAGATTTCAACTAAATTTCTGTAGGCAAAATATTTTAATTCAGCTATTCGTATTTCTTTGCCCTATTTCTAAAACACTTCAGGCCTGAGGACTTGCGCCGTGAATTTGGTCGCTATGGCCCTATAGTAGACGTTTACATTCCACTTGACTTCTACACTCGCCGCCCAAGAGGATTTGCTTATGTTCAATATCCTTTATTTTGTGTGCATGTGAATATACTGTGTACATGTGCTTATACATATATATATATATATATTCAGGAGCATATGCTGTAAGATTACAATTGCCTAACTAAATGTGTTTATTTCTTTATCTCAGAAAATCTAAAGCAGTCCACAGTAGCTGGCAAGCGCCCCCCAGTTTGAACCAACCTGTTAGCTAGAATCCAAGCATAACCCGAGCAGGCGAGACAAAAGGCACCTAAAGTTCAAGCATCAAGGAGTAAAGAGGGAGGGTGGACACAGATATAAAGACCTGGAAGAGGGGAAGTCTTTATCAAGCAAAGGACAAAGCCGACTTTGAGACTTCGGCTTTCCTACATTTATTCAGAGTTCCAGAGTCAAAGCCAAGTCTGATTTTGTTGGTTCTGCATCTCTTATAAAGTCCATCTTGCAAGTCTTAAAGAGTAAAGGTCAAGGTTCAAGATCAAGTGACATTGAGGTAATTGCCAGTCTTATTTTATATTGCATTTCTTGAGCTTTTTTTGTTTGCTATTTTTTAAAAAATAGTTAATAACCTCCTGAAGTACAGCTATTTAATCCTTTATATAGCTCATATCCATTATACAAGGATTAATATTACATAATTTATATAGTTAAGGGAGTTCAGTGGGTTATTTCAAACAAGTATATGTAATTTTGCGGATGTTTGCAGATTGCCTTTATGTTTTTCCCCCACTTATATCCCAAATAACAAAAACAAAATAAGGATTAGATGATAGGTTTAAACATGCTTATGGTTTTTGAAAGATTAAATCAGTTTTTATAAACTCATTTATGTGTGTGCAGTTTTGTTTTGTTTAGTTTTGAAACAGAATCTTGCTGCCAGGCATGGTGGCACATGCCTGTAATTTCAGCACATTGGGAAGCTGAGGTAGGAGGATCCCTGTGAATTCAAAGCCAGCCTGGACCGTACAATAGTTCAAGGCTAGCTTAAATTACACAGTGAGACCCTGTCTCAAAAACAAAACAACAACAAAAAAAGCAAACACAATCGCAAATACAAACAAACAGAAACAAGGTCTTTCTGTGTAGTTCAGACTGGCCTCAAACTCACCATAATCCTCCTGCCTCAGCCTCCCAAAGTGTTTGGGTTATGGGCACAGCTTGTATATATGCGATCTTATTTATGTGATTTAGCCTAAGTGGCATAATTGCACATTTTTTAATGAAAGAGCAATTTAATTTCAGAGTAAAGGTTTTAGTAATCTGATACTTGCAGTGAAAATCCTAATGGGTCCTTTTTATGAAAAGAAGGAAGTTGGGCATGGTGGCACAGGCCTGTAATCCCAGAACTCCAGTATGTTGAGGCAGGAGGATCATATATTCAAACCCAGCCTGGGCAGTTTAGCAATTTATTGAGATCCTGCCTCAAAATAAAATACAGAAAAGGATTCTAGATGTAGTTCAGTGAGAAGACCCTGAGTTCAATCCCTCATACCTTTAAAACAACAACGAAAAAGGAGTGAGTTCTAAACAGCCTTTTAAAAAAAAATAATGCCAACCAATTCGGATGTTTCAAATTATTCAGAGATGTTGCAGCTATACCAATATATACATTAAAAGTACAGTTAAACTAGATGTGGTGGCACACACCTGTAATCCCAGAACTCTGGGACTCTGAGATAGGAGTTTCAGCTCAGCCTATGTAATTTAGTAATTTAAGTGAGCTCCTGTCTCAAATAGGCTTGGGAATGTACCTCAGTGTGAAGGCCCTCTGTTCAATTACCAGCGCTGCAACAAACAAAAAAAGTTGTTACATGTATGTGTTTTTTTGCTAGATTTAGTCTCCTAAATAATATTTATGTAATAATACAAGTAAATTTCATTCTGATTGTTTATATTGGAGATGTGAACCTAATAACTAGAATTTGTTCCCATTAATTTCATTTTACATGTATAATACCTTAAAAATACTTTTACCTGCTGTCTGATGTTCAAAGTATCCTTAACAGCTAGTCATATTTGAAGATGTTCGAGATGCTGAAGATGCTCTTTATAACCTCAATAGAAAGTGGGTATGTGGCCGTCAAATTGAAATACAGTTTGCACAAGGTGATCGCAAAAGTAAGTGTGACTAAACCTTGGATCTTTTTTATTCAGCAGAATGAGTTACAGCAATGGGAGATTTTTAAAATTTAAAATTCTTTCAGCGAGTGATACTAGTTGATTGGCTGGTATTGTGGTTTTCAAATAATGAATTGTGTTACAAGCCTTGTTTTTCACATTCTAGCACCAGGCCAAATGAAATCAAAAGAACGTCATCCTTGTTCTCCAGCTGATCACAGGAGATCAAGAAGCCCCAGTCCAAGGAGAACTCGAAGTAGAAGTTCTTCATGGGGAAGAAACAGGAGGCGTTCGGATAGCCTTAAAGAGTGAGTACCAAATAGAGGATTAAAAACTCGTTCTGTTTTTTCAGGAGTTTTTTTAAAAAGATAGATCATTTCAGTTTTGTTTAATATACATAAATAATGAACTTTTGTACAAAGGTAGGCTGTTTTCTATCACACATTATTATTTAACTTTGGTTTTTTGATTACCTTCCAGTGTTTTTATTTCATGACCAACTTCAATTTTTTAAAGTGGAAAGATACTGTATAGAGAGTGTCCTCCAAAAATGTGTACATACTTCAGCAGTTTGCCAAACTAATAAATGTCTAGAAGCTAATGACTACCACTTTAAGCACTTCTTAAAATTGTTGAAGCCAAAGATAACTTGTATTAATCTCATGATGTCTAAATAAATTTAGTATTAAAATACTAAAATAAATTTAGTATTAATTTATTTAATACTAAAATAAATTTAGTATTAATTTATTTAATACTAAAATTTAGTATTAAAATTTCTTTTCTTACACACATTTTTGGTGGGTTCTGTATATACCAAAGAGAAAGCAAAAAATAGTAAATACATATTTGACATACAAGGCAAAGAATTTTATATAGCTAAAATTTTCCAAAGTGAGCCTAATAATTCAGAATCTTGCTGAGCATGGTGGTGTATACCTATAGTCCCAATACTCAGGAGGCTTACAGAAGAGGATTATGAAAAGTTCAAGGCCAGCCTGGACTACATAGTGAGTTCAAGACCAGGCTGAACTAGATGATGAGACCCTGACTCCAAAAAAAAAAAAGTAGCAAAATCTTGAATTCTGAAAATTACTAACAATTACATACCTTATTATTGTGAAGGAGGGTTAACTAATATTAATGTAAGTCAATTTACTTAAAAGGTAAATCATCGGGGCTGGGGATTTAGCTCAGCGGCATAAGCACCTGCCTTGCAAGCAGGCGGTCGTGAGTTCAATCCCTGGTACCGATAAAAAGTTAAAAAAAAAAACTTAAAAAAAAAAAAAAAAAGGTAAATCATCAAGAACAAATTCCAGGTGTAATAGTATTGTTGGAAGATATGAGTGGTAAATTTGAGGGAAAAAGATCTTTGCAAGTTACCTGTTTTGCTATCAATGAGTTGATTTCTGTTATAATAAGAGTAAATCACAATTGAAATTAATTGCATGGTGGAGTTTTTAAAAAATAGTAACTGGAATTGTATTGGCATGCCTAAATTTTTAATCGTATGTATCTTAAGTTTTTATTTTAATTTTTCACAGGCATGTAGAATTTTTAAATGAATTCTATTCTCAAAGAATGGTCAGCATTTAACAACATCCTTTAGGTAGGCTGATGTGGAGCACATGTAGTGTATGTAAACTGATAGGCCCATACAAAGCTGCTCACCAAGGCTCATTCACTTTCATTTCCAATCCTTCCATTTTTCAACTCCCAGAGATTAAACAAGAAAATGTCCTCCCTAGTATACACCTACCAGAGCTAATTAGATTTATTGCCTCAGGCCCCGAAAGACCAAACTGAAATGGACTGGCTCCTCTTCACCTGAGTGGTAGTGATCCATATGAAAAAGAAACCACATCCACATTTATGACTTTCAGTATCTAGGAAAATTGCTAAATTTCTGATTGCTAGAAAAATGTGACCTAGTCAGAACCCTCAAATCTTAACATTGTTACACAGATACCTATTCTCTATTACAAACCAAATGATTTTGGCCTGTCCTTGGGTAGGTACTGAAGGCGGAGAAGCTTTAAATTTCTTTGATTAGCCAAGGGAACCCAAGTCAGGATTGGCCATTAACAAGATAAGTGAAATACTATTTCTAGACAGATATAGCATAATTTGGAACTTGAAACTTGTCATTATCCATTCTCTGCTATAGTAACACTACAGATCTTCCTTGCATCTTAGAGTAACCCAGTGTGTCCCATGGCTAAGGTATGCTGATTGGCAGTTTGAAGTTTCAGCTATGATAGAATTTCTAAAATAGGCATGGTAGCACTGGCATGTAATTGCAGCGGTTGGGAGGCTAAAGCAGAGGATCAGAATGGGCTACATTGTGAGGTCTTATGTCAAAAAATAGAACCAAAAACCTCAAGTAGTTTCTATCCCAAATATAAAATTTTGTTAATTTTTAAAATTTGCATGCCTTATGTACAGGAAAGCAGCAATAATATCAAAATGGTATCAGGCTTCACAGAGAACATGCATATATTGTAAAGGAATGATGTTCACAAATTTAGATTACTGTGAATTTATACCTTATCTATATGTGTGTATACATACATACATGCAGTTTATACTAAATATAAATGGGGCAAATGATATAAAATGGCTTAGTCTGTAAATCAGATATAAACATAAATGTAATGTATTATATCTAAGCAGCACCATTCTAAATTACTGAATAATAATCTGCTAACCTTGATGAAAAGGATTTAGTTTGTAAGAAAAGTTGTTTCTTGGATTCATTAAGAATGTATTCCCAGTGACATTTAAATAAGGTAAATACTCATATCATTTCCTTCCTTCTGTTAGAAGTACAATTACAACACTTGTTTGGAGGCAAAAAGTGATCATTATCATTGAGTATCAGGATTAGGAGGACCACGTCATTCAAAACAATTCTGTCTGCTTTGTACTGATTATAAGACCATTCCTTAACCTCCCAAACTCTTTTTTTTCTCATTTCAAAAACTGTATTAAAGAGATTAAAAGTTCTAAATCAGGGGCTGGGGATTTAGCTCAGCGCATAAGTGCCTGCTTTGCAAGCGCTCGGTCATGAGTTTGATCCTTGGTACCAATAAAAAAAATTTTTTTAAATCAGTTCTCAGTGTATTTGTGAGGATCCAGTTTTGGGTGTAGATGCATATTTAGGTGTATGTATGTAATGTGTATGGATTAGGGTTACATATGTAAGCATAATACTTGCAAGTACATAGTAAGTCTGTTTGCCTTCAGTGTATGTAGGAAAAAAAACCTAGTTTGTTGCTCTCAAGATTGTGAGTTCTTTGACTTACTGTTTTTTGTTATGTAAGACAGGGTGTCATTGTGTAGTTCAGACTGACCTTGAGCTCCTTGGATAGCCCAGCCTGGCCTCCAATTTGAGGTGATCTTCCTGCCTCAGCTTCCTAAATGCCGGGATTATAGGTGTGAGCCATCACACTTGGCTCTTTTTACTTTTTTCATATTTATAGCCCTAGTACTTAGTGGTAGTACGTAATTCACTTCATAAATCTTTATTGACTTACTTTAGTAAATGTGTATATTTGAACTCCGAATGTTCCTAAAGAATGTTAAAATTGGGGCCAGGGATTTAGCTCAGTAGCAGAAGTGCCTGCCTTGCAAGCACACGGTTGTGAGTTCAATCCTTGGTAACAACAACAACGAAAAAGAATGTTAAAATTGTTGTTCAGCCTTCTTTTCTTTAGTTCAAATATAGCATCATTTTTTTAGTATTTTTGTCAAGCATATTTTTTTCCATTTTGTTTTCTGTATGAGTGAAATTCAGTACTTTCTAAAAAAAAAAAAGTCCATTGATTCCTGCATATATTCTACAGTAGTTGTGTTCACACAGCTAGGCACTGAGCTATACATTAGTAATCCCAGGCACTCAGGAGGCTGAGGCAGGAAGATCACAAATTTGAGGCAAATCTGGGCACTTAGACGCTGGCTTAAAAGGGGAGTGGAGCATAGCTCAGTGGCAGAACACTTGGCTAGCATACTTGAGGCCCTGGATTCAATCCTTAGCACTGGGGAAATTTCTTCTTCTGGTTCATTGTTTCTGTCTGGGATCATTTTCCTTCAGTTTGAAGAATTTTTATTATTTCTTATAGAAAAAGTGTGCTAGAAATGAATTGTTGACTTTTATCTGAAAACATCTTTAGTTTACATAGATATTTGAGGGATATTGTTTTTGCTACAACTAGAATTTTAGCTTGGCCGATATTTTCCTTCGTCTTACACCCACAATGCCGGTCCATTGTTTTTCTGATATATACAGTCAGCTGTTGAACCTACTGTCGTTGCTCCCAGATAACCTTTTATTCTGGTAGCTTTTCAGGATTTTCTCTGACTAGTTTGCAGCAGCTTGACTGTTGTAATTTTCTTTGTACTTATTCCACCTGGAATTTATTGAGCTTTTTGAATTGTGAGTTGATGCCTTTGTTTGGGCAAATTCTAGGCCCTTATCTCTGCAAATACTGTTTCTGCTTTACTGTGTCTTTCCTCTTGGCTATGTGACTATGTACCACTCATCTTTAGGCTCTGCCTCGGATTCCTTAACATCCCTTTTCTCTGTGTTTCAGTCCAGTTCACTGTTTCTTTTGCTGTGTGTTCAGATTGCTGTTTAATCTTTCCAATGACTTTAAACTTCTTTTTATTAGTACACACTTGCAATACATGAAGTTTACATTCATGGTAGGGAGTAGGTACAAGTATATAATGTATCTTGCTTTTTTTATAGCCCTTCCTGTCTCCATCCATCTTCTTTCTCCATCTCTAGATTCCCTTTCCCCATTTTCAATTAAACTATTATTTTTAGTTCATAGTTATGACATGTAATGTTTACATTCATTATGGGTCTTTGGTACATATATGACACATCTGAAATCTTTTTACTTCTCTTTTTCCTTCCCTTTCCCTAAGTCTCTTGAACCCCTTGGCATTTGCAAAAAAATCTTCTATTTCCTTCTATCAAATCTTTACTTTGCCATACTTAAATGAAAGACATTATATAATATTTAAGCTTGTATGTTTATTTCACTTAACATTTTCCATGTATATTCATTTTCCTACAAATGTCTCCAGTTTATCCACTTTGGGAGTGGGAGTTGTTTTTTTGAGACAGTGGCTCATTATGTAGTTCAGGCTGGCCTTGAACTCATGGAAATCCTTGTGTCTCCTGAGTGCTCCTGAGTGCTCATACCCAGTCAAATTTATCCTTCCTTATAGTCAAGTAGTATTCCATTATGGATAAATAGCACATTTTCTTTATCCATTCTTCTGTTGATGGACATACAGGCTACTTCCAGGATTTGGCTATTATGACATTGTGCTGCTGTAATTATTTGCATATATGTATCATTGTGATATGTCTTTAGTTCTTTAGGGAAGACACTTAGAAGAGGAATAGATGGGTCAGATGGAATTTCTGTTTTTAATTTTTTTGAGAAATTTCCATATTGATTTCCAAATAGTTATACTAGTTTACATTTGTACCAACAGTGTCAAAGGTTTCTCTTTCTCTGCAGCCCTGCTAGTATTTATTATTTAATTTCCTGATAACTGCCATTCTTTGTACAATAAGATGAAATCATGAGGATTAAATAGCTGAATGTGTGTTTGAGTGTTTCTGTCTGCTGTTTTCTTCGATTGTACCCAATAACTTTTTTTTCCCAATGACTTTAATTCTAGATATATTTTCAGTTCTAAATGTCTACTTGTTTCTTTTTATGGGTTCCAATTTCCCATTGAAATTCTCCATCTTTGCATGATTTGTCTGTTTTCTGTTTTCTTGGACACATTAGTCATATGAGTTTTAAAGTTCCTATCTGTATTAAAACTCAGATTACTTTGGGTCTGTTTGTTTTCCTCCTCTTTCTCTTCTTTCTCCTCTCCTCCTGTTGTCTTTTATTTTCCTTACTTTTAGCCATTTTTGCCTTTTTCCCCCCAATACCTTATTTTAAAATATTAGACATGGCAGATGTAATCATTCTCCAAAGAAAATTTTTTCTTCTGATAGACAAGAGTACTGGTGGGTCACCTTCATCCTGTTAACGAGTGATTTGTACATTATTAAAACTATTTGGCTTTGCATTTATTTCTAGAACATGGCCCTTCCCTCTAGGATGTGTCCCTTCTAGGTGATTATTGAAAGTCTGGATCATTGTCCAGCAATCTTTGGTCTGAGTGGCTTGAATTCCAGCCTGTCTTCTCAGCACTATCTGATAAAAATTCAGTTCTCTTCTTGGACTTCCCAGATGCTGTTTTTTTGCTGTATATACTTACAACTAAAAGATAGCCAAAGTTGTATGGAGAATTTGTAGGTCTATTATAAGGGTTCCACTTGGCAACAGTTCTCTCATTTCTGGGATTAGTTCCAACCATTTAGGTGGCCTGAGTTGATTCATTTGTTTGTCTCTTCAATTAGTGAAACAGCCATTTGAGGGCTCAATTTTCCCATAGTGTTGTGTAGAAAATGGCATTGGTAAAGAAGCCAAAGTTTACAACTCCTGAAGTTCTGCTTGTTTGTTATTCACCCGTGACTTCAAACAATTTTTTAAAGTTTTGTATAGCTTTTTATATAGTGTTTTATGTGAGAAGATTATTACCAGTTCTATCATGGCATGGCCCAAAAGTCCTGCGTCTAGGTCTTTCATTTTTGTGGTTCTTTTGGGTTTTTTTGTTTTGTTTGTTTGAAACAGGGTCTCACTACTCTGCAGTCCAAGCTGGTCTTCGATTTGCTATGTAAGTAGCCTGGGCCTTGAACTCAAAATCCTCCTGCTTCAGCCTCCAAAGTGCTAGGATTACATGAATGCACCACCATAATGATTTTTTGTACTTCTGAAGTACTCTTTAACCTAGGTTAAGTATGAAGGACTTTTTCAGAACTGACTTATCAAGCAAAGTAAAAATCTTTAGTCATATATTTGACTAAAACTAATATTATAAACTTGTTACTTATGTTTGAACCAAATGAATGTGCAATAAAAACAGAGTTATTTCTTAGTGGTAGAGCATTTTCCTAGCAGACACAAGGCCCTGTGTTCAGTCCTCAGGGACAATTAAAAAATGTTACTTGAATCATAACTATTATGTAAAATATAAGTTCTTGAAGATGTATCTTCGTAACTGACTGCTTTATATGAAATACATGGTCTAACTGTGTGGATATTTACAGGTCTCGACACAGACGATTCTCTTACAGCCAGTCTAAGTCTCGTTCCAAATCACTACCAAGGCGCTCTACCTCAGCACGGCAGTCAAGAACTCCAAGAAGGAATTCTGGTTCTAGAGGACGGTCACGGTCCAAGTCCTTACCAAAAAGGTCCAAGTCCATAGGAAAATCACAGTCAAGTTCACCTCAAAAGCAGACTAGCTCAGGAACAAAATCAAGATCACATGGAAGACATGCCGACTCCATAGTAAGATCCCCCTGTAAATCTCCCAAACGCTATACCAATTCTGAAACGAAAGCACAAACAGCAAAACATTCTCATTTTCGGTCACATTCCAGATCTCGGAGTTATCGTCATAAAAACAGTTGGTGAAAAACAGAAGAGTACTACATAGTCTTTAATATAAGTTATTATATCTCTTATTATGTTAAATAAAAACTCTTCAAAGCTTACAAAAATTTGAGTTAATATTAGTTACTTCTGGGCATGTAAAGGAAATAGTGTCTTTCTAGGTTTAGATTAATAAAGATTTGGTCTGTTTAGCGGTTTACATCACAAATTACATATCTAATGTCACCATTTTATAGACCTTTTTAAAAGTTTTATTTTATTAGTGCATGTTTATAGTACCTGAAGTTCACTTTCACATTAGGGACTAGGTATGTATACATATTGTGATTCTGTTTACTCTCCTTCACACCCCCTCCCACGTCCCTCCATCTTTAGATCCCATTCCCAGGGTGTGGACGGTGATGGGAGGAAACATCAAAGGGTTATGATGAATCTTTTTGTTTTGTTTTTACATGAGTACAGAAAGTTACTTCTGGGGCCGGGGATTTAGTTCAGTGGCATAAGCGTCTGCCTGGCAAGTTCAAGGTCGTGAGTTCAATCCCTAGTACCACAAAAAAAAAAAGTTCTCAAAGAAAATGGCTAAAATGGAATCAGTTTAGAATTCCACTTAGATATTGAGTATTAGTTATATTAATAACAGCTTTAACAAAAACCACTTTTACTTTAAAGCATTTTCATGTAAAAAGTAATTATGACTTTGTATGTTTGATATCAGTGTCTCTTTTCTGTCTTCTTCATACTTAGGCCAATTCCCAGTGGGTACTAGTTCAAAAAACAACATTCTGAAGTCTCTAAAAGTACAGTTATATAATGATCAAAGACTCAAAGAATATATTGCCTCCTGAGCTCAAAGAAGCTTTTATTTTTATTGACTAGAACAGTATAGATTAGTTGACATGAAGTTATATCCTATACCTATTAACTTCAAAAAGATGAAAACATTTTTAGAAATACTGGATTTTGAGTGGCTTGACCTGGTTCTCTAAAACTTACCTGTGCACCATTCACTATGCAAAACTACTCATTAAGCCTTACCCTCTTCAAGGCCAAATTAGCAAGACAATCAAGTTTGAGGCCAGCCTGAACAACCTAGTGACTTAGCAAAAACTTGTCTCAAAAGTTTTTAAAAAGGCTGGAAATGTAGTACAGTTCAGAGGCCCTGGGTTTAATCCCAGTAATGGGGAGGAAAAAAATTAATAGAAGGCCTTAGTACAATTGAAAAGTAGTACATTTTGTATAAAATAATACTTAACCATTTCTGTATATCAGTTTTCATCTGCTTAGTTTTTAAGAGCTCTACCTCAGTATTTTAACATATAGAATGCCTTATTTCTGAGAATATTTCTCAGAAGTGTATCTTCAAAAAATAATGAAATTTTTTTTAAACCAAATAACTTTAACATAGTTGTTGCTTTTACAATTGTTGTGACTAAGAGTTTCTTTTAAAAATGTGTTTGTAAATTCAATCCCCAGTACAGAAAGAGAGAGAGAGACAGAGAGAGAGAGAAATGTGTTTGTAGCCAGGGGTGTTGGCAAACTCCTATAATCCTAGCACTTGGAAAGCAAGTGGATCGCATGGAGTTCAAGGGCAGCCTGGGCTTCATAGTGAGAGCCTGTCTCAAAGACAAAAGCTTTCATAATTGATACTATTCAGAAGTTTCAGATTTATGATAGATCAGAGGTATTTTTACAGAGCTCTACTTGTGTACCTTAGTAAATTATATTACTAAAATTTAAGTTACTGATGCATAGTTTTTATTTATAGAATGTTTAAGAAATGTTTTATAGTGTTAAATATATAGGGGTCACTGCTGTTTCTACTTGTTTGGGATACAAAGTTCACTTTTATTTTTCATGGATCTGAGAATGAAACACAGGGTCTTCTCTGTCAAGGCAAGAGCTCTTATCACTGAGCCACATCCACAGCCCCAAATTTTACTTTTTTTTTTTTTTTTTGTACATTAGAATATGCAAGAGAGAGTGAGGCATTTAGCTCAGTGGCCTAAGCACCTGCCTGGCAAGCACAAGGTTGAGAGTTCAATCCCTGATACCAAAAAAAAAGAATATGCAAGAGATAACATTACAAAAACAACTCATTTGCCAGTAATATTTGGAAAGTACCATAAATTCACATAGTACTTTCTGAATAGATTTTTCCTATTTAATCATAGCAAAATTTATTTTAAAACTACAACCCTGAAGTGTTATAAGCTAGAAATTATATAGCACTATTGAAGATTTAGAGGAGAGTCTGAGGCACTAGTAAAACATATAGATTCACACATACACAGTATTCACTTGTCTAGCATGGATGCTGAGGCCCTGAGTTTGCTTTGCATTCACACATTCTTAGTAAAAAGTTAACAAGGAAGGCAGTATCCTGAGTATATATAATGCCTCCATTTAACTTTGACTTGGTTTTCCATGATAATCCCTTTGTCAGGAGGATACTATTCGATATGATGGAAAAGCTGAAACTCTGAACTTTTACAATGTGCTTGACACTGCTGTTAGTTTCAAGTCACTCACCTGTCTAATCTTTATAAGGTAAATGACTGCAAATCAGGAAACTTGCGATGGAAAGATTTAAATCACAACCATTGTAACTGGGATGCTGGGGAATACCTGGGCTCCAAAGTCTTCCTGACACATGATTTTTAGAAGCAGCAAAGTCTTTGATAGATCCTTAATACAATATTTAGGAAGAAATGAGAACGTAAGAAAAGAAATTCTTGTAGGCTTCAATGAGAGTGTTTCCATTATTGGATGAAAAGTGATTGGCTAGATGTCCTAGAAAATTGTTTTCTGAGATTATTGTGAAGTTCACTTTGTCATAGAATTGTTTCTTAGGCTATTTCAGAGATACTTAGGATAAGAGTGTCTATTAATAAAACAGATGTGTTTGGTTTGGTTTGGTTTTTTGAGACAGTGTCTTGCTGTGTAGTTCATGTTGGCCTTGAACTCTCTTGCCTTAGTGTCCCAAGTGCTGGATTTACAGGTGTGTGTATCCACAGTAAAGCAAATGAATGTTTTTGCTTTAGACATCTATAATCTCCTGTAAAGAGAATACGTGTACTTACATACTTCTCAGATTTACACCAGGGGTATATGTGTCACTGTTTTAGGTCACAGAGGATAAATTAAAGGCAAAGAAAGTTAAACATGGTCAATGTAGCTGCGCATTTTTTCCCTGTGAATAACGGCCAATAATTTTTGTGTGGCAGCTAGTATCTTGTAACTGCTGAAAGATAATGAACTTGTTAGAAATTTTATTTGGAACTTAATTTGGAATTTAATGTTGTGCCATTGGGTTAATTTCTTTTTCAAGTTTAGTTATTTTGTTATTTGAGGTTTTTGCTTTTGAGACAGGGTCTTGTGTGTAGTGTAGGCTAGCCTTAACCTCATTATGTAGCCTAGCCTAGGCTTAGAACTCAGTCCTCCTGCCTCAGCATCCCAAGTCCTCTGATTATAAGCATACACCACTATGTCTGGCTAGGACATTTATTTTTAATGTTTGAGATATGAATGTGAGTTTGTTTTTTGAGACAGGGCCTCCATATGTAGCCTATTTGGCCTCAAAGTCCTCATGCCTCTTCATTGAGTACTAAGGTCAAGGTCCTTGCCACCAGGCCCAGCTGAATGTAACTAACAAATTGTTGTATTACAAATAAGAATTGCTGCCATTAGGCCACATATGGTGGTGCATCCCTTTAATTGTAGCACTCTGGGAGACTGAGGCAGGAGGACTGCATGTTTGAACTAACTAGGTCAACTTTGCAGGGGTGTCTCAAAGTAAATAAAGGGACGGGGATGTGGCTCAGTGCAAAGACCGTGGGTTCAATTCCTAGTAGCACACATATACATACACAAATTATTACTACCTGTATTCTAATCCCATTGCGAGAGAAAAAATGTAAAAGTATTTAGAAATACTTTTACAACCTTGATTTACATTAAAATTTATAATTACCAAGATGTCATGATGTATGCCTATATTTCCAGCTACTCCAGAGGCTGAGGCAGGAAAATCAAAAGCTCAAATCCAGTTTGAGCATCTTAGACCTTTTATCAAATTTTAAAAGGGTGGGGGATGCGTATACTTCAGTGACAATGCTTGCCTAGCACTGGTGAGTTGCTAGATTCAATCCTCAATACCATGGGTGGTCATGGAGATGGTGGGGCGTGTTCAAGCTCTAAGAATGAGGGAGAGTAGGAAAAAATGTTAAAAAGATGCTTATAAGTTACATAAATCAAGCATAAAGACAATTGGGTCAAATACATTTTTCAAAATGTAACAGTCCCTGTTGAAAGTGTTAAGATAAACATTTCCGGTTGATTCAACATGTTAAGTTGAAGTAGCACAGTAATTAGGACAAGGTGGACGAGTTGGCACATGCTTGTGGTCCTAGCATGTGAGAAGCTGAGCAGTAAGTTTAAGGCCAGCCTGGAGTACTTGGCAGAATTATCAAAAAAAAAAGTATGACATTCCAAGTGTTATCTAAAGATAGCAGATGAAGAACAGCTGAATAAAAAATAGAACTATGAGCCAAGCTCAGTGGCCCATAATCCCAGCTACTCAGGTTGAGAGGAAAATTCCAAGTTCAAGACTAGTGTGAGCAATATGGTGAGACACTGTCAAAACTTAAAAAGAAAAGGCTTAGCGGCTGGGGATTTAGCTTACCAGCGTAAATTCCTGCCAGGCAGGCACAAGCTCATGAGTTCAATCCTGGTACCAAAAAAAAGACTTGGGATACACTGAGCAGAGTACTCACTTGCCACTTGCATGGGGCTCTGGGTTCAATCCCTAATCTTACAAACAAAGCAGATTATCACAATCCTAGAGTTAAACTGGGATTTTATTCTGGGAAGAGTTGTATTATTGCTCAGGTGTGGTAGTGTAATACCAGCATTCTGGGAGACAGGAGGCAGCGTAGGAGGACCTGAAGTTCTAGACTAGTCTGGCCAATTTAGCAAGACTTTCTCAAAATGGGATGTAGCTCAGTGGTAGAGCACTTGACTAGTATGTGTGAGTCCCTGGGTTCAATCCCCAGACCCTAGCACTACATAAATAAATGTGTATAAATGCTATAATAACAAAGGCTGGCGA